CGATAAAATCCGTAAAATTAGTTTTATTTAAATGTGTAGTGTTCGCGTAAATATAAGAAATCATTATGATCTTTGTTTTGTCCATGTTCATCTTAAGACCTATCCGTTGGGAAACACTATTGAGGTCATTTAGCATAGTGATTAGGTCCTCCAGCGATTCTGCCATAAGGACTATATCGTCGGCAAATCTAAGGTGAGTGATGTACTCGCGATTGATGTTAATACCGTATCCTTTCCAGTACAGAAGCTTGAAAACGTCTTCCAATGCAGCGGTGAAGAGTTTCGGGGATATAACGTCACCCTGTCTTACACCTCTCTGCAATTGGATAGGTTTCGTGCTCTGGTTCTGTACTCGGATAGCCATCGTAGTCCTACTGTACAAGCACTTCAGCATTTCGATATACCGACAGTAAATTTGGCCCCGCTGAAGGGACTGCAGCTGCAGCAGTAGTTCTTCAAGGGAGCGTTGTTACCTTTCTTGAAGAATAAGACCACTGCACTTCTGATCCACGCCTCCGGTGTAATGCCACCATGGAGGACGGAATTAAGGAGCTTCTGAAGGACTTCAAGTACCGGTTTTCCACCCGTTTTCAGAAACTCCGCTGTAATTCCATCCTCGCCTGGGGCCTTGCCGTTTTTAAGGTGCTGGAGAGCCATTCTAATCTCGCTCAGACTGACGTCCGGGATATCATCGGAATAGTGTCGGATTAGACTTGCTCTTGGATCTCACACTTATGTGTGGCTCCAACGATGATATGTACAGCTGCCCATAGAACCTCTCAATCTCACTCAAAATCTCAAGTGTCCCGGAAACGACGTTGCCACACTCTGTCTTCAGCTTCGACAGTTGGCTCTTTCTGGCAGACAGATCTCTAGCAAAGACTTTGGAGCCCTGGTTCCGCTCGATCACTTCTTAAGTACGAGCAGGAATAAAGTTGCTTAAGTCCCGCCGCATGCATTTGGAGATCTCTCTGTTCATTTGCCTGTATGCTGTCAAATCTACTGAAGACTGCAGCTTCATATCCCGTCAAATAGCCATGAGATGAAGAGTGTGATCGTAGGGTTTTTGTGTTTTTCTGCGGCGGGTCTTGAAAAACTTAGCTCCGACCGCATGGACAGTTTCCACGAGCTTGTCATTCATATCGTCCACTGCATTGCAATCTTCTAGGCACTGAAAATGGTTTCGTAGCACGATCTGAAAGGTTTCGGGACTTTGGAATAGAGCACGAGGGGGCGGAGCGTTGACTTCATTAGACGTGACCTCTCCAACTTAACGGTTAGGTTCAGTGTAACTCTCACCATTCGGTGATCGTTCCCTGAATGCATGGCTCTAGAGATATCCTCATACATTACCTCCACCTCCTCATCGGGGTGTGCCTAGGTTGGTGCGTAAACCTGTATGACCTTCAGCGAATACCGTTTGGTGATTCTGAGTATAAGGTTCGCAACCCTCGTCGACACACTTCCAATCTTTACAACTTTGTTAACGTGAGACTTGTGGACGATAAATCCAACACCTCCTCGGGACAGATGGTCGCCGACCGGTGATAGAACAAATTGCCGGATTCGAGGATTACCATGTCCTTCCTCTCTCTTCGGACTTCGGATAATCTTATGACATTCCAGCGCAACTTGTCTATATCTTCTTCCAGCTCTAGGATCTTCTCGTTAGTCATCAGGGTGCGTGCGTTATAAGTTTCCAGGTTTAGTCTTCATAGGTGGCAACCGAACCTCCACCGGAGATTATTAGCACACCCTGCCCCGCCGTTACCATGGTCGCCACCGTAGCTAGGAATAGCAAGGCCGCCGGGGATTGGGGTCGTCTCTTCGTTACTTTCATGGGGGGTATAATGCCATAGTTGCCACGGGTCGGCAACCACAGTTCTTTTATTGTTGTTTTGCTGTTATCAGAAAGATACTGCTACCTATGCTATCTTTTGTCTCAAGTTCCCTCTGTCGCCTTTTACGACACCTTAGGGAAGATATAGGGTTATTATTATCCATAAATTAACATAACTTTTTAATAAGGGTTTGAAACTTTGAGGAGGTCAAATTTTGTATATTTTTAGGGATTTTGTTGTTAAAGCCTATGCATCACACGCCAAGATTGAATTACTGACTCGGTGGTGTCGAGTAATTTGTACTACTAGTATATGTCTCTTTTCCTCTTTTCGATTGTTTCCGATTGCCGCTCCAAATAACGATAATGATGGAATTAGCAAATGGGCACAAGACAATTATATTAAATCTTGCAAAAACTAAACGTATGCATATACACTCGCCATATAATCGAAATGCTAAATGTGTAAAAAAGGAAGATCTAATAGTGATAGGACATACATACGAATGTATTCATAGAAACAAATTTAACTGTAACTGTAAAAGATTGGATTATGTAGATTTTAAATATTTAGGTCAAACTATAGATAAGGACTTTAACTGGAGAATACATGTAAATGACATTTGCAATAGGCTAAGATCGGTGCTAAGTAAGTTTTATCAATTAAAAAATGTATTGAACAAACAAACGTTAAGAATAATATATTTTGCACTTGCCGACTCGCTAATGAGTTATGAACTCCTTGTACACCGACGAACCTTTGTTACATAACTAAGTTTTTAGTTAGTAAAAATGTTAAAGATAATTGCGACAGAAACTATGATAATTAGTTTACCATTTGTAAAATAATATCCATAGATAAAAAAGTAGATTATTTGGTGGATCTGGAATATTTTTATAATGAGGAATATAAAGTTAATGTTAAAAACAAGTACAACATACATATGGTTAGAGAAAACAAACTGGTTCTACCAAAAATAACGAACTATTATGGTAAGAGAACATATAAGTATTTGGTAGCTGAAGTGTTTAACAAAATAGATCTACTAAGGCAAAAAGTAAAAAATTAGTAAAGGATTACTTAAGAAAAAAATATAAAACATTATACAGGATTGCTAATAGAACTATATACGAGTGCATTGTAGTAGATTAAAACATTACAATATAAAATATAAGTACTAGATATTTAATTCATATAATTAAAGTTACATGTATATAAAGATATATAGTTAACATAACAACTAGATGTCATAGGTTTATATATTACCATATTATATAATTGTGTATTATTGTGTCCAATATTAGTAGTACATAATGTGGTTCATTGTTATGTAAAAGAGCGCCCCTCGCCTTCAAACGTAAAAGTTTGGCGTGTTTAGAATAAAGTAACACCTCTGTGTTATAAAAAATTAGATAATAAATAAATAAAAAAAACAAATTGTGGGTTTCTAAAAAAAATAGAGAGCGCATTTGTGCTTAATGCACAATACACTTGTGAATTTTGATCCTATCCTGCGCAGATGGCTATTTTCTATTGAGACTGGCCGTCATGACTGTCGGCGCACCTCATCGTGCCTCGGGCCACTATGGTGGACGCGTGGGAGCGCGGGTCGGTCGCTGACCCCGCGGCAACGCGAGCACCTCCGTTCCTTACTCGGCTGTGTGACGCGGTAGCAGACGGGCACTTCATTATTCAATTTACTAAAAACATATAATTTATTTATATGTTTGTTTAGAGGTTTTACGTCATTAAGCCTATTGTTAATACAGTCGACTCATTTTATTTCTAAAGTCCCGATGAGGTCTAAACAATGACCGTATTTCGATCTATAAGATTTTTATTTATTATTCTTTAAAAAAATAGAACGTTACTCCCATACTACGTCTTTGTAGTCTAAAGGAGGCAATTTACACATATAAGCTACGCCTGGAGAAACACACAGGCCCAGAAGTTGTGAAATATTAAAAGACAGATAAAATAAAAACTTTTTATATAGAGACTTTTTATATAAACATATTTAGACACCAGCGTAAAATCTCACAGAATATCGTCGTAAAATAGCAGCTTAATGTTAAATGAAAAAAAGTTGTCTATTGTTGTCTAGAATCGTAAACGCAAATAAAAAAACCGGCCAAGTGCGAACCGGACTAGCGTACCAAGGGTTCCGTACCATCAAATACGTTTCTGTAGCCTCCTTTAACTTTTAATTAATTTGTAATTTATTATTTGTTGTTAAAATGGCCACGGAAATATAAACTCTGAGAAAAGAGAAAATCAATAAAAGTTATGTGTATTAAACAGAATCAGGCGTTATTTTGCAGAAATCCATTATATAAAAATTAATTAGCTCATATCCACGTAATAAGATAAAATGATGCGTCTTACCTACTTTGAAGAGCACCTCTCGCCCTCTCTACTCTTCACCAGTAATCATAGGACTTTAAGGTTTTGTCTATAATAATTAATTATTATCTCCTGGTTTCTTTTATTATTTCGCGTGAAATCATCTTCCGCGTAAGTGCAATAAAAAATTTATGCCGGACTCTTACCGTCTCAAACCCACGGAGGTTCCTGGTCACTATCAGCGTATGAAAGGGGTCTAGGAATCTCCGTTCAGAACATGACCGAGGCACCTCCATCGCTTTCCCAGCAATCTCGCAGCAATCTTGGCTAGGACGCAGGATGCATCTCATGCGATCTACGATGCTTTCGTATGAGCGTAACGTTCCCACGGTACGCTCGTGTGTGTGTGGGTTCTTTCGAGTGATTTAGTGCCTTTGTTGTAGGCTCAACATGAGTGGCACTATAATATTTCCTGCAAGTCTAATGCACGATATTATATCGAATTTTTCACATTCATCGGAATCAGTCAAAAAACTGCTGTAACTTTAACTTTTTTCCTTTTCTGATCAAAATAACAAAACAGACGATAGTGATATTTTGATAATCGAAAAGCAGTTCTTTTTGTCAGCTAGGAATAATTAACGAGTTTTGCAAAACTTCCCAAGTTAACGCACACCCTTCTCTTGTTTCAGGAAATACGCGTAATTAACCAGGAGCTGAAAAAGAAGAGCTTATCCTAGAATGTTTAGAATAAAGAAGAGAAGACATCATAAGAAATATAAGATACGATGAAAGACATGAGTTCTTAATACCACAATGATAGAAGAAGTTAGCCGAGACTCAACGAAGCGAGCGTTTTGCCACCAAGACGGCTTTGTTGATGAGCCAAAGTGTTGTTTCACAGGGAAAGATGATTCCAGATTGTTCTGTTGCCGATGTGCCCACAAACGGCGTGCGTCACCTTTAACGTGTCTAGCCATATGCTTTCTTGTGCTCACATACAATCTTCTCGGAGGATTCCTATTCCTTGCAATTGAAGGCGGAGCTACTACTGAAGACACGGCAGTTGCTGCTTCAAAACCGAATCCAACTCAGCAAGGTGTAGGAGAACTAAGATCCAAAACAGTTGAACGCCTTTGGTCTATTACAGAAGATTTGAACATTTTGTATAAAGAAAACTGGACCAAACTTGCTGCAAAGGAGTTGATGGACTTTCAAAAAGTTCTGTTGCATTCTATGCGCAACGCAGGGGGCCCGAATTATGAACATAGCACTGATTACCGTTGGACGTTCTCCAGCAGCTTTTTGTATGCCCTCACACTCATTACAACTATTGGTAAGATTTAGTATTTACACATTATACTACGGTTATAAAAAAAAAATGTACAGCTGGCTTATGGTTTATGATTTTTGATACAATTCATCCATTTACCATCCATTACAGCATACGAAAAGCCCACTGCTGAACATAGGTCTGGAATTTTTCCATTGTTGCCACGTTTGACAGGACGGTTGACAACCGCAGTTTTTTGTTATTCAGAGTAGTTATCACGAAGGTGTTGCTGCCCATATGCTGTTTCAGTTACTTTGTCGCCTCTTACGACACCCATGGGACGGATATTGAATAGAGGATATACTTACTCCGCCATTACATGGTTAATTATAGTTCATGTCCAATATTAAAGTAATATTTTAACTACTTGTAGAGACGCCACCAATTAAATTCTTAGTTGCAATTTTAGGGGCAGATTTATCACGTACTACGCGATGACAAAACATTAGGAGTAAAAGTAAATTATATACAAAGCGATGAACTTATTACTTTATAACCCTTTCAAAAATTCAAGGAGCCATGAGTGTGTAACAGTGGGATGTACATAACTTTAGGTTAAAACTTTTTCGGTTTTTGAGACTGAATGTGTTGCTCCTGCCTTAATAATATGATACAATCCCCTCAAATTTTTGACAGTTTCTTTAAAGGATAACGGTGACAAACGAGCACACAGTTCACCTGATGGTAGGTGGTTGCTGAGGCCCATAGACATCTGCATCTATCCTCGATTACGAATCAAAATGCAGATGTGTTGTTACCCGTGAGAACTAAGATAGAATGCCTCGTTTCCAGTAAAAAGGGTTTCCGGTTCTCTACACTCATCATACGAAACACAGCAGCATTAATCTGCTATTTTACGCTGGTATTCTGTGAGAGCGTGGTCCTTCCTCGGTCGAGCCGACCCATTTGTGCTGCAACTATACCAGTAATATAGCTGCAGCATGGCTCTACCACATAAAAACCAGTTACCGTTGCAACCTATCAAGGTCCACTGCTTAACTTGGGCCTCCCTAATAGATTGTTTCGTAGGGATTTATAAAAAGCTTTATTCATTATCATCATTATTACAGTCTATCGATATTACACTGATAAAAATAGGCCTCTCCACAGGTTGCCCATTAAGGAGATATTTATGAGCTCTCGCGGTTAGTATATCTGCCAGCAGGCAACCGCAGTTTTGATTTTTGGTTGCTATTAGGAAAACACAATTGCTTATTTCCTGGTATGTCTCCCTCTATCGCCTTATGGATTCCTAGATAACGCCTACATGATGACACAGGGTAGTGGATATTCTTACCACCACTACACGATAAAAAACCAGAAGATTTAAGTTAATTGAAATATTTTTTCTTTTTGCAGGACATGGGAACGTCATGCCAAAATCGTCGATTGGAAAGATAGTAGCGGTGGTATATGCGTGCGTTGGAATTCCAATCATAATGCTGTATCTGTCCACGATTGGAGAAGCGCTCGCCAGAAATTTCCGTATACTCTATTCCAAGATTTGTCCGACAAGATTAAAAAGTGGGAACTTTCACACTAAAGCGGAATGTTTAAGTCGTTATTCGCTTCAAGCGCTCGAGTGTGGTCAGTACGTGGAATGTGATAAAAGGGACAAGCTGTGTGAAAGGCAAAAATCAACACCGTTTCAAGCCGCCCTCAACCTGGACAGTTTCAGTGGGGGCTATCACTGGACTTGTCGTGATCATACGCGTGTGCCGATAGTTCTCAGTCTCTTTGTGGTAGCGTTGTACATATTACTTGGGACTTTTTTATTTCATACTACAGAAAAGTGGAACTTAATAGATGGATGCTACTTTTCATTCTCAAGCCTCGCGACTATAGGCTTTGGGGATCTTAAGCCGGGACTGTACGCTGCCACTGTGTCGGCTAAAGCTGAAGACATTGCGGTTGGTGTGTGTTGCGTGTACATTTTAGTGGGTATCGTTGTAGTGGCTATGTGCTTCAATCTCATCCAAGAAGACACTAGTTCTGCGTTAAGGAGTGTGGCCGCGTTATGTGCGGGGGGTTCGAAGTCCAGAGCCGTGCATAGCATCGAGTGCCGAGATGAAAAGCTGTCGGCTACTGTCGCAGTGTCCTGACGTTCGGCCGCGGCCGAGTGCCGGCCGTCGGCGTCTGGAACAGTGCGGTCTGATACCACATGTTTTTTTCTTTTTTTATATTACTAATCTCTCATATATCAAAAAAAATGGCGTATTTTTTATTTATATATTATTTCTTATTCTATATTTACACTAGCTGTCGCGGCATACATTGTTCCAACATTACCAGTAGGTGAGAAGCTTTTTCAATATAAAAAATATATTCGTCGGTCGGTCGGCCATAGCACCGCATATCGTGTTTAGATTTTGTGATCTTTGTATCAGTTGATGATTAATGATGATGGCATAGACTTTCAGTTTTTGACATATATTGATATTAACACACATTTGCATCACAAACTCATATAGTACAAGAAATTTACTCAAACCGCTCACTTTTCCCATGTAAAACCTTACTAAAGAACATGCTCTATACTCTAACATATAATGACACTGAAGATCTAATTAAATAGCACATATGACACGCACACACGTACACACACACACACATGCACACACATACACACACACGCACGCAAGCACGCACGCAGGCACGCACGCACGCAGGCACGCACGCACGTACGCACGAACGTACGCACACACGCACGCACACTCATACTCACTCACAAACTGGACTCGATGATACTCATTCTTATTTCAACTATTACAGAGTGATCTACAAGCGCTATAGTTAATTTTTAATTTTAGTTGTGTAGGGAAATAATACCACCATATTATTTGTATTAGAAACATTATTTTTAACCTCCGATGTCAATCATGTTATGTTAAAACTACCGTATAGTATATCTTTAAGTAAATGTTGTCCAGTGACAAACCATTTTGTAATGTCGCATGCCAGGGTCCTGAGATACAAGCTGCGTTTAGTTTAGGACCCGCAGTTACCTATGTTTTTATACTTATGTTGTTAAATAAATAAATAAAAAATAACATAGAGCGTTGTAGCCTACAAAGGTCCACTGCTGAACATATGCCTCCCCATCGATTGCCTCATAGAAGGAATATTTGTGATAGTTGCCACGCTTGCCAAGTTGTTATCACAGCTTTTTAGTGATGAAGTTCTTAATGATTATAAGTTACTAAATTACGTCCAGCGGTTACTCGCAAGTGGGCTTTGTAGCTCCGACAGAATATCTAAAGCTAAATCGGTGACCCTTTCTGTTGCTGCAATTCATTTTTTAAATATTTATTAAATAAAAAATAAACTTCTTGTATGTAAAATTGATATTCTGCAAGTTGCAGCAATAAATAAATATTGTCTTTATTTCTTTCTTTGATAGGCGGCCGCAGGTATCGTTCCGGATCGATGGCTCTAACCCGACCAAGTTCAGCAGCCTACCACGTAGGAAGTCTTCAGCTCTCGGCGAGGAGAGCTTCGTCCGCGGCGTGCCTGCGAGGCGCTCGGCCGGTCCAGCGCCGCGCAGCATCAGCGAGCTCAATCTCAGCGGGAGTCGCCGCGATCGCACGGTCACATTTGAGGACGACCGTGCACTCGCTGATGACGTATTCATGTGACGCTGCGCTGTAATACCAATGTGGACACAATTTGTTACGTAATAAATTTAACGTTTTACACATTTTATCTTTTATTTAGATTCCCAACATTGTTGAAAGTTACAAAAATTGTAAATAGTTAAGAAAATGTATTTAGGTTAGAAATAAGTTGCGGTGCTGAAGACCGCGGGTTCGAATTACGCATGAAGCAAGAATTTGTATGGCCTACAAATAATTGTTCCAGGTCTGATGTGTGTTCTTGTGAAATCTTAGTGTGTGTGTGTGTGTGGGAGGGGGGGGGGGTAAGTGAGGAAAAAAATATATTATATTAAATATAATATCATAAGTCAAGGCTAAAGGTCGCGGTGTGGTTACACTTAGGCTTAGCAGGCTACAGCATATAAGTGCGGTTGATTAAACTTAAGTGTAGTACAAAATAGTAAAACTTGTTTAGAAGATGTTTTCTTCCTCGCACGACTTCCTTGGGGAATTGATTACCATCAGCGATTTTTCCGGACCGATACGACTTAGGGACCTTCAAGAAAAGAGCGTACTCCTTTTTAAAAGGCCGGCAACGCATCTGCAATTCCCTCCCTGGTGTTGCAGTTGTTCATGGGCGGCGGTAGTCACTTACCATCAGGTGAGCCGCATGCTCGTTTGCCCCCTATCCTATAAAAAAATTAGTAAAGTCCGGATGGTAATTAAAATAATTGTAACTACGATTTACTTTGTTAAAGAAGCACCTATCAAGTCGTATTAACGGCATTAGGTTAACATTAGAGGGCTCGCGCATCAAAAAATGCCAAGAGTGCTCGCGGGGAGTGCATGTGCCACCCATTATTATATAGGTTTTTATCTTATTATTCTTACTTGGAGAAAGTAAACAAGTTATATTATTATGAATCAACTCTGTAATTAAATACTTTTACAAAAGCCAACATTCTATAAAAATTAAAATATTTTAGGCTTATTGAGATCAATCAGTTTATATTTTTTGAACACGTTATTTTGGCAGATTAATCATCACAATACAAAGTTTACGAACGGTTTATTTCTACTCCATAGCCTTTTCGACACAGTTAGGGCATAATTTCATCTGGTAATCCGGGCAAATAGGCCTATTACACTTGCTACACTGTTTGCGAATGCTTCGATATCTCGCTCTACTACAGAAGTCACATCTTCCTTTTCCACCGCGTATGGGCAAGTTTTCTACATGCTTGTTTTCAGGGTGCCCCAAAAGAAGCCTGGCTTTCATTTTTATAGCTCTCGGTATATTTTCTTGAGAAATCCGTTATGTAATCAGAGGTTTTACAAGTTGAAATCCAATCTCTTGCAAATATTTTCGGCGGATTGTCTCAATTTGTGGATTATTCAATTGTTATATGACTAGGACGTTTATAGCTGCCATAGTAAAAAATATAAAATAATATAATAATATATTGACGACACATTTTATCGAAAACATCGACGCCATACTTTGTGTGATTGTAAAAGGTTTTCCTCTTTCGGGGTCAATATTACCATCATTAAAGTAAAACGGGTAGACAAGAGTACAGCGACTTTATTTTTCTTTGGTATATAACTAACGAGTGTACAATCAGTTTGGAAACCTAAGGAGTCTAGTTATTGTCTATTCTGAGTAGATTTGAATTTCTGGGGTATTTCAGATTTATTCTTTTCAGCGTTCCAACTATATACATAGAATCTTTGCGTACAAGTACATTGGTTAACCAATTCTCCATTGTCACGTTACATTCCAAGCCATATAGTGGATTCAAAACTCTGCAGATAATATCCCGAACTTGATTTGATACGCGATAGGGCCCTTCTGGCTGTTGACCTGCGTACACTTCGAAATTGCCCACTAACAGATACTTGACGTCTACGACCATAATTATTCTTATACCAAATTTAGCAGGTTTGTTCAGCGTATAAATTATAAAACCATAACAACCTTTGAATGCTACAAGTTGCACATCAAGTGTAACGGACTCGCTCGGCCTATAGTATTCTTTGCAGTTGCGAAGCATAATTTCAATAATTTTACGAATCGGTGTTAAAAGGTCGGTTACTTGACGGACTGCTCTATCCCTTACGTCGTCACGCACAATCATCGTAACTTGAATCGACATCTACTTTTCGACATTTTGCTGTATACTGCCTCGATACCACGACCTTTAGAATTGTCCCAGAAGTCTTTGAGGATTCTCCGTTCAGCTCTTCTAACTGTAACAACAAGCAGACAAAAGTTTTCATTTCAACCAAACCTATAGGTGCAGCATCTCTCTCCCTTTGATACTTATGTCTGATTGTGTCAATATAAATATTTGAGCATTCCACGAGAATTCTCTAAATATCAGTTTCAAAAAATATTAAAAACAGATTGGCAAAGTCTTCTCTGGCAATACCTTTTGGACCTGAAGGTCTTGAAATAATTGTATGTGCCCTGGTTCTAGATGTAGGTTATGATAATTTACTTTATTTTGTTTCATTCGGTGATACATAAAAAGCTAACTGTTACAAAGGCATATTATCTTCGTCTTCGTCTCATTGATAATCACTTTATTGTTCCATGTCTGAAACCTGAGGAGAACCAATTGCAACAGTTTGCTCCTGTGTACCACTGTCTTCTTCTTCTTACTCTGTTGCACTACTTTCGGTGAATTGTTCTTCTAACCACCTGCTTATAGTCAAATCGTTCGACATCGATGCCATTATAACCCAAAACAATAAGTATGTTGCATTTCTTGGCTTGCATTGCTTTACTTGCATAAAAAATATTTATATATTTGATTTTCAATCACTTAGGTTAGATTTCTAAAACTTCCTCAGACGCTCGCGCGGGTTTCATACGTCACCCACGAACTTAATAACGCACTGTGCACGCGTCAGAGCACCTAGCACGATGGCGCGCTACTTACATATGTGTGGGGCGATCCTTCCTCAAGGAATATCTGAGAGGACAGCACTAAAGCGCAATTCGTTCAAAAGTTATTTCACATTATTACACCCATGGTATATCTCAATCAGGGTGTTTTTTTACGCAATTGGGTTTTTTAATTTCTGTACTTTTAAGCTTGTTATAAAAATACTGATCGAGGTTTGAATTTCAAAAACGTTTTAATTCTTGTTCCCGCTTTTAAAAATATGTGCGATGGCTGACGTCATGACGTCTAGAAAAAAGTAATTCGACGATTTGTTAGCCTATAAAAATTGGAATTGTTATACTTTTTCTTTAGTAACTCAAAAACTAATAATACTTTAGAACTTTTAAGAAAAATTACTTTTAAGAAGAGGAAATTTTCGATAAATCTCCATTATTTAATATTTTTATTTAATGTCGAAAATAGGAATCCGCGCGACCGTTACGGCTAGAGCGCTTCGCCACTGAAGATAGTATATCACATAATTTTTTTATAGTATTAAGTATTAATTTAAAAATTTTGATCAATATCTATTTGGTACAAAGCCGAGATTTCCAACTA